AAAAAAAATAGTGACAAATCCTCTTGAAGCTTCCTCTGTAACTCTAATTCTCTACCCACGACATCTTATAATACACACTAAAATTGTCAAGCTGGGGTGAAGTCACCGAAAGTAGATGTGTTTTGACTGAACAACCTATGACAATTTGATGTTTAGACACACATTCTCCCAGCAACAAAGCAAATAGTTTTACCAAGGCATTCTTTACCTTCCCCACCTGACGATCTCAGGCTTGAAGCCTGGGAAGGCAATATGACACCAACGGGCAACTTGAGCATTCACAGAAGAGAACGTCAAGTCCCATGAGGACTCGCAAAGCAGGGAGGCAGTAACGAAGGGCTGGGCTTCCCCAGGACCCAGGCGTCCACACAGTCAGAAAGCAGTGGAGTAAGGGGCATAGGTTCTGAGTCAAGCTGTGTTCAAGTCATGCCTTGACAAGTTGGTAGCGCTGCGCCTGAATGACAGGAGTCCTCATAGCAGAGTGGTTACACTGGGCTGCTAACCACAAGGCCAGCAGTTCAAAACCACCAGTTGCTCTGTGGGAGAAAGATGAGGCTTTTTACTCTTCTCCTGTAGAGTTATAGTCTGAATAACGATGAATAAAGGAAAAAGAAAATGTCCTGGAACTGATTGTGCTGATAATTATACAAATCTCTTGAGATGGTTGAATGATTGAATTGTATGCTATGTGGAGGAAATGTCAATAAAACTTTTAAACCAAGAAAGTGATAGTCTTGGACAGACAGTAGGGTTTTTCCTATAGGGTCACTACAGGGTCATTCTGCGTTGAAAGCAACTAGACGGCTGTCAGTTTGATGCCTGCTGGAGGTCCACAATAGGATGCACTCGGCTGCTGAGTGAACTGTCCTGGGACAGTTCCAGTCTGTATCACCTGGGGTCATGGAGAATTGGGATTGCCTCAGCGGCAAAGGGTTTGGCTGGGTCAGTGTGTTAGGCTGGGTTGTCTAGAGAAACAAAACCAGTGAAACTCGCACACGTGTAAGAAAGAATTTCATATCAAGAAGGGGTCCTGCCCAGTCCAACTCAAGTTCAAGCCAGGGCATTCTTCAGACTCACGTAGCTACAGGTCAACGAGGCGGAAGGGGGAACCTGGAAGCAGGGAAGTCACAGGCTGGTGGGTGGGGAGTCCCATGGGTCCAAGCTCAGTGGGTATGCGGCAGGGCACTGATAGCCCACAGGGGATCACCCTGGAGGCAGACACAGAATCCCAACAAGCAGGGAGGGTACAGGGCAAGAGAGAGGTTCCTAGGTCTCTCTTACCAAAAATTCCACACCCCCAAAGAGGCACCACCAAGC